GTGACGAACTGCAGCGCGCCTAATGGCTACGTCACTGGACTCCTATGTAGTCGATCGCAGTTTGAATCCTGGACTAGGTGGCTTAAACTCACGCTGGGAGCGTGTGAAAGCATGCCCAAAATCCTGAGAGGAGAATGGAGGAGAAGGGATTAAGGTGTGGCCACACCCCCTGGGGGGGTGATTTCTCGCTTTCTGTCTCTAAGTAGAAAGAGTACTTTCTGGCAAGCGTACACACCCTATAGCAAAAACCTCTCCAAAAAAAAAAGAAAAAAGTTTAAGTAGGTTCTAAAGTTTCACTGTAGGTAACAAAAAACTTATTAATAATAAAGTTTAAGTCTAGATTAACATTATTTAGATAATAGCAAAAATGTGCACATTTCTAATTTCCAGATGGATTTACCCTAATTTATTCTAATATTAACAAATCTTTCATAAAAATCAAGTTAGTACCATATACTGACAATTTAAAAAAAGTCAGGCAGGCCAGCAGGTGGCATAGTGGTTAAGGTGCTGGACTCCCACATAGTTGACCACGGTTCAAATCCTAGACCTGGCAGCTTGAAACTTGCATTGGGCGTGTGTGCGTGTCCAAGATTCCAGAGAACAGAGAAGAGACTGCAGGGGTGATTTCTCACTTTCTTTTTTTCTGTCTCTCTGGCAAATGCATGTGCCCTACAACAACAACAAAAAACTCTCAGAAAAAATTATTTCCTGAGACATCCATTAAAAAGAAAAATCTTACAGATTCTTAGATTCATTCTCAATCCAATTTATTCAAAGTTGTATGACAACCTGACTTAATGTTACAAATCCGGTAAAAACAAGGGAAGACATCTCTATTACCTAAAACAATGTATAAAAATTCTGAGATTCCCCTCAAAATCTACATAATTCATATAAAAGACTTTCATTAAAAGAGTGTTTTATTCTACAGGAGTGGGGGGGTAGGGGGGACTTTACAAAGCAACAGAAACATTCACTCACCCAGACAACAGACTAGAATATTTATTCTTTGCAATGACTGATTCAGCCATACTCCAGTTTGGCAAAAGGAAAAGTAACAACTGAGAAAAAGTATTAAGTAAAGTCTACAAGCAAAAATAGGAACCCTAGCCCATCTTTCCAAAAAGCAAAAGTCTCTGGAAAAAATGAGAAATTATGTTATATAGTAGCAAGAGTACTGATAACATAGTAACTGTTGGGGAATCCACCAAAGAAAAGTCAAACTAGCTACCTAATCCATCTACAATGTAGCCTACTTACTGGCAGCTCCCTAACGCCAAACACACAAACCCATAAAGCTTCCAATTAGATTTCTGGTACTGCACCTTAAAATAGATATCTATGGATCACCAGAAGAGAAAAATAAAATATAAAAACTAAGCATAAAGAGAAACAGGAACAAATGAAGAACAGAACAACAAATCTCTGATTAATGAAAAGACATTGCATGTATAAAACAAGAATAGGCTATTTAAAGAGAAAGGGTTCTTAAAAATTACAAATCTGAAAACAGCAGAATTACCTAGAAGAAAGGTAAAAGATTACACTGAAGAAAATTATTAGAAAGAATAAAAAGAGTGGCTGGCCCTTGTAGTCTACTGCTTAAAATGAGCTGGATCCTACATGGCCAACAATGGTTCAAAGCCCGGCCCCACCGGAAAACATGTCAAGTGCATGTGTGGGCATGCCCCAAATCCCAAAAGGATGCAGAAATGGAGAAAAGACTGTAATGTGACCAAATCTCATTGCAGGGTGCTTTCTCTCTCTCTATCTCTCTGTCTCTATCTTCCATGTACCCCCTCCGACCATTAAAAAAGAGAAGAAAAAATAAAAAGAAAGTATTTTTGTTGGCAGGAGGGAGGCAGAACAACAGGAAAGAAAATAAAAGAAAATCAAACTATGTAGTTCAACATCCAATACTACAAAAGAAGTTCTATAAGAACAGAGAAAACACAATGAACAAAATAATCAATAAAAGAAAAAATTTAAGAACAAGAAAATGTCCATAATAGAAAGACACTGAAGAACAGACTGAATGGACCTAATGAATACAAAGCACAGTAAAAAAAGATACATACAAAGCATGCTGTGGTAAAACTTCAAAATATCAGGCAAAATAAATTCATAAAATATTCCAGGAAAGGGATGTTAAAAAGAACTAGAAAATAAAATGCCTTTGGACTCATCAATGGCAAAAGTAGAAACTACGAGACATGGGCTAATGTCTTCAAAGCCCTGAAGAAAATGTTCTCAAGCTATAATTCTATACCCAGCTATACTTTCTTTATACTTTCTTTCTTTCTCTCTCCCTCTCTCTCTCTCTCTCTCTCTCTCTCTTTTTTCCCCCGTGAGCTTTGCTGGAGAAAGAGAGAAGAAGAGTGAGAAAGCAAGTCACCAGATCTGGGACTCAAACTAGTCGGCCATGTGGGAATTCCAGTGCCTTAACCACCACATCACCTGCTGCCTCCCCCCTCCCAGCTATACTTTCAATGCAAGAGAGGATTAAAAACCTTTTTAACATGTATTTTGAGAAATATAAAAAAGGAAAAAGAAAAACTAGGATTTAGGAAAAGAGAAATCAACGTAGGACAAAAATAAAGCAAATTCTCAGGATGTTAGTGAAAGAAGGCTAACAGCTCAAATTAGAAAAGTATGGGAGACCAGCAGTTAGCATAATGGCTATGTCACTGGACTCCCACGTAGTCAACCATGGTTCGCGTCCCGGACCCAGTGGCTTAAACTCACGCCGGGCGCGTGTGCATGGATGCCCAAGATCCTGAGAATGGAGGAGAAGGGATTGCAGCATGGTCATCCCCCTGGGGGATTATTTCTGGCTTTCTCTCTCTCTGTCTCTCTCTGTCTGGCGAGCGCAGGCGCCCTATAGCAAAAACTTCTCCAAAAAAAGAAAAAAAAAGTATGGATAGTTTCAAGATTTCCATACCCATCCATGGTGGCATATGGATAGCCATACTGTTTGGGAGGCTAGAAGACACAGAAGCAACCCAGGTTTGGTTCCCAGACCAATCTGAATAAGCCCATTGTAGCTGAATGCACCTGTAATCCTACTTAACTAAGAAGCTGAAGGATTGCAACACGGCCAGACCCTGTGGAAAATGCCTGTCTCTCTCCTTCTTTCTTCCCCATAAAAGGGGTGGAAGGGGCAAAAGCTACCAAAAAATAGTAACAGTAAAAATTTATAGATTACCTGATACATTTAACCATAGAGAGAAGCTCAGTTAACACAGCAGAAATAATTCTCAGAATACACAGCAAGTTAAAAATAAATTACTGGGAACCAGCAGTTAGTGTAATGGCTATGTCGCTGGATTCCCACGATCCCGCATGGAGGAGAAGGGATTGCGGCGTGACCATCCCCTCTGGGGGGGGATTTCTCGCTTTCTGTCTCTATGTCTCTGTCTGTCTGGTGCGCGCACGCGCCCTATAGTGAAAATCTCTCCAAAAAAAAAAAAAAAAAAAAGAAAGAAAGAAATTACTAAACTAGATTTTAAAAAATACTTTTAAAAGGTAACATAGGACCACCTGGTGAAGTGGTAGTTAAGGAGGCACATGACTGACTACACAGTTTAAGTCCCGGATTGAGCTGCTTGAAAAACACATCAGGCCTGTGTGCATGTATTCCAGAATCTTGAAAAGAGAGAGATGAAAGAGAAAGGATTGCAACATTAATCATTCCATGAGGGAGTGGAATGCTTTCTCATTTTCTCTCAGCTCCCCCATCTTTCTCTAGCAAGCACATGCCCTCTCTGGCAAAATAAATGGTAATATAAAAAAAAAAAAAAGAAAGAAAGAAATATAGGGCTAGCCCCATGGCCCAGTGGTTAATAGATCAGGATCCTACATGGCCCACTGTAGTTCAAGTCCTGGCCCTGGTGGCTAGAAAAACACACAAGGAGGCACTGTGCATGTATGCTGCGAATCCTAACCAGATGGAAAAATGGAAGAGATATGGTGTGATGACACCCCACTGGGGAGTGCTTTCTCTTCCTGTCTTTCTGTCTCTGACAAATGTATGTACAATCTGGCAATTAAAAAAGAAAGGAAATAAAATCACAGTTACTCATTTGGTTCTTAAAATAACAAATATTAAAAACACTGATTTAAACAAAAACTAGACTATATGTTTATACCACAATTGTGTGTGTGTGTGTGTGTGTGTGTGTGTAGGATAAGAGGGGATACTAAATCCTCATTTTCAATAAAAATAAAAGTGAGCTATAGAAATTTTTTGGTTTTTGTTTTTTAACAACAGAGGAAAATAAGACCTTGGCAGCTAGACAAACTGAAGTGGTTCCCCCTAGAAACTGAGACTAGGAGGGTTAGAAACCTAGGAGGAGATAACAAGAAAAAAAAAAATAATAGAATGAAAGATCTGCAAAGAACTAATAAATCACTCATACAAACTGTTTCATGGGGCCAACAGGTGACGTGGGGTTAAGGCACTGGATTCCCACATGGCTGACCACTGTCCTGAACCCTGTGGCTTGAAAATCATGACAGGTGCATGTGTCTACACACAAAACCCTAGAGGAGAATGGAGGAGAGGAGAAGGGATTGCAGCCTGATGATCCCCTTGGAGGGGAGGGTGATTTCTCACTTTTTCTCTCTTCTCTATGCGCAGATGCCCTAAGGCAAAATCTTAAAAAAAAAAAAAACCTCTGTTTCTTGATTTTCTAATAATGTAAGGTTAAAAATTCCCTAGGTAGGGACCAGCAGCTAGCGTAATGGCTATGTCGCTAAACTCCCATGTAGTCGACCTCGGTTCAAGTCCCGGACCCGGTGGCTTAAACTCACACTGGGTGCTTGAGCGTACGTGCCGTGCCCAAGATCCGGAGAGAAGAATGGAGGAGAAGGGATTGCGGTGTGGCCATCCCCCCGGGGGGTGATTTCTCACTTTCTGTCTCTGTCTCTCTCTGTCTTTCTGGCAAGCGCATGTGCCCTATAGCAAAATAAAAAAACCTCTCAAAAAAAAAAAAATTCCCTAGGTAGGCCACAGGTAGTAAGATTATCAGTTCATGATTCATAACAAATGACAAGAATCTCTAGATGACTGTCAGATGTTATTCCAAATACCTCTCTCATTTGGACCAGAAACAAGATATCACCCACAGAAAATAAGACTTTATCAACTTTCTTCAGCAAGTATCCATTGTTAGAGGAGATTAGCAAAGGAAAAAAATCAATTCTATCGCATCTGCCTTCCTGTACTCCCTGACATTCACTACTCAGAAAAAATGGGCATATGTTTTGAACAATGAAGCTTTCCAGGGAATTCAATATTAAAAGTACATTCAATAATCATGAAATGCCAGCTTCAAAACTGGCAACTAATACTTAGCTATACCCTTTGTCCAGGTCCCCACTCTTTGTTCACCTTTTCTTTCTGATTTAATTAAATGTAATTAATAGAAGATAATTCCTATTTCATAAAACACACGAAGATGACATTAAATATAACAACTCACAGTAATAAATTTTGCTTGATAATTCATTTCGTTGAAACATAGATACTAGAGATCTAATCAAAGGAAGGAATTCATATTAAAAAAACTGGAATAAAAATGTGCTCTTTTCAGGTTTATTTAAAATTGTTCAGTTCAAAGCTAGCTATCTGACATAATGGTCCAGGTTTTCACCTTATTTTTATCCCATTACATGGCCAAATCCAAACTAAAAATAAGGCAAAAAGGGAACCAGCAGTTAGTGTAATGGCTATGTCGCTGGATTCCCACGTAGTCGACCGCGGTTCGCGTCCCGGACCCGGTGGCTTAAAACTCACGCCGGGCACGTGTGCGTGCGTGCCCAAGATCCCAAGAGGAGAATGGAGGAGAAGGGATTGCGGCGTGACCATCCCCTCTGGGGGGTGATTTCTCGCTTTCTGTCTCTCTGTCTCTCTCTGTCTGTCTGGCGAGCACACGCGCCCTATAGCAAAAATCTCTCAAAAAAAAAAAGAAAAAAAAAGAAGGTAAAAAGATGTCTTAGAGCCCAGCTACTCTACAAGGATAAAAAACAAATTATCCCAAGCTTAAAACCGTAGAACAATTCTATCGCCAAAAGTTTACTCTAGAGTAGATAACTAGTTCAGACTACTCTAAATTTCCACATAAGCAACAACATTTTTGAAGTCCCTCCGATACAAAGTATCTTGCCTCAATATGAATCTTGGCCCTCAGTCACGCTTTTAACCAGGCCAGCCATCAAAGTGGGGAGAACTCCTAGAGAATTTAGCCAATGGTTTTCAATGTTCCCCACCATAGAGATCCTCCATGACCATCAAGACATAACAAAGTAAACCAAAAGTCCATGAATTTCTAATACATTTCAACATCAACTTTGATAGAAACAATATTGACACCAAAATCATCTACTATAAACGAAATAAGGGATTTTTTAAGAGAATATAGTTTCACAAAATAAAATCAATAAAACTATTCCACAGAAAAGGAACCTCCGTAAAATTTTATATCCTTGTTTTCCTTGTATTCTGAATAAAAGATTTCAAGTAAAGATGATCTATTTATATAAAATGTTGTTCCACATTACTGTGGTAGCAGGTTTGGCAAATTTTATGATAGAATAAATAAAATCCAGATAGGGGCAATAACTTATTTTCACACCTCAAAAGTTATCAGTTTCTCAGTTTTGTACTTGACTTTAGAATAATCTAGGTAAATGTCGATCTGTTCTTAAAACACTTGTATTGGCTCTTGCCTTAGGGTGAGAACCTTAAAGATTGCTTCCTAAAGTTGAGACAATGGAAACTGCACATGTCTATTTGTAAATAATCAAACATGAGACAAGGTAATAGCAAAGTAGTTTATAAAATAGTTTTTATAGTATTTGGTATTTAATTTACACTCTGAAATTTCTTTTCTAAACTTGACCTCTCCTCTATCAAATTATAGAACATTCAAGATTACATAATTTCTTCATCAGGATTCCTTGGAAAGCAAGAGCTACCCAGTATAACAATCAGAACTGTAACAACTACACCAAGTAGTCTGTCCACTCAGTCCAATTACCTTTGATCCCCTAACCCATTTCCTTTTCCTACAATACAGGAAAAAAAAAAATTCCTCCTCATCCACTGTCTTAAACTACCTTGAGGTTTTGAACTCAGCATTCTTTCATATTTTTTAGACATTTTTGCAATAGGGTGCGTGTGCTCACCAGAGAGAGAGAAAACAAGAAATTAACTCAACCTCCCCATGGCCAGGCCAAAATCTCTTCTCCATTCTCCTCTTGGGATCTTGGGGGTGCACACACACACCCAGCCTGAGTTTTAAGCTGCTGGTCCGTGACTTGTACCACGGTTGACTACATGGGAATCCAGCCACGTAACCATTATTCCATCTGCAGGTCCTGACTTTTTTTTTTTAAATTAAGAGTTAAATTCCAGGAGCCAGCAGGTGACGTGGTGGTTAAGGGCACTGGACTCCCACATGGCTGACGGCAGTTCGAGTCCCAGACCTGGTGGCTTGCTTTCTCACTTTCCCTCTCTCTCCTTCCTCCTCACTCTGTCCCTCTCTAGTCAAATTTAAACAAATAAATAAAGTTAAATAAAATAATTCTTTTATTAAAAAATAATTAAATTCCATCCAACTGTTAAAAAACAATAACTGGGGGACGGGCAGATGCTGCAGTGGTTAAGGGCTCTGGACTCCCACATGGCCGACTGCGGTTTGAGCCCCAGACCCGGAGGCTTGCTTTCTCACTTTCCCTCTCTCTCCTTCCTCCTCACTCTGTCCCTCCCTGGTCTAATTAATTAATTAATTAATTAAAGTTAAGTAAAAAAAATTTTTTTTTAAATCATTTGGGTGACCAGCAGATGGCATAAGAGTTGCATCACTGGACTCCCAAGAAGTCAACTGCGGTTCGAGTCCCAAACTCGGTGACTTAGAATTCACACTGGATGTGTGTGTGTGTGTGTGCATGCCCAAAATCCTGAGGGTAGAACAGAGGAGAAGGGATGGGGTGTGGCCACCCAGCCTGTGGGGTGATTTCTCATTTTCCGTCTCTCTGTCTCTCCAGGGAGTGCAGGCGCCCCAGAGCAAAAATCTCTCTTAAAAAAAAAAAAAGAAATACTTGTTCTTTAAAAAGTCACATAGTTCCAAAGTGACATTTCTTAAATGACTGCTAACTGACTTGTTTCACATGGAGCCTATCTGTTATAGAATATTTCCAGATGAGACATATTCAAATCAACAAGTAATATCATCACTGGCTATTAACCAGTACAGATTAAGAGCCTTACGGCCCTTAATCGGTACTCGTTTAAAGTCTTGTGGTACTGAACTATGCAATATGATGCCATTTACAAAAGTAGTACATTACTGGTAATACAAACACACAGGCTGTGATTTCTTCCTTCACAAAATCATAAACCGCACATGTGTTAAGCCCAATTTAGCTAACGTTTACATCTTCTCTTTGTTACCGTCTCTGCTCATCCTATTGATATTCCCATGTAAAAGAATAACTGCTGTTTTAAATGAAGAGTGGAGGGTAAAACCAGCTAGGGAGCTTTTAGATAATCCAGAAGTTGTGAGACACATAAGCCCCTCGTGTTCTTACCTAAAGAGACGAAGATGTATGCACAAAAGCTGAACGAGAGAAGAAAGGTACAGGACCAGACAGTCCTAGCCTATGCATCTCCCCTTAAAGTGAAGAACTGAGGCGATTTCAAGCTACATAAATAAAGCCCGAAAGAGAACTGCTTTTTGAAATTGTTATTAACCCAGATATTTACCTTAGTTCTTCACCACCCTTTGAAACACCATGCAGAGAATCCCAACACAATCTTCCTCTTTTGGTCCTGGACTGAGGACAGGGCGGGAGGGGGGAAGCATGGGGGCAGGACGCGGGGAAAGGAAACCGAGAAAAAGTAAGCGGTCCTAAGAGTTTTCATACAGCACAGCGGCCTGGGCGCCCGTAAATCTGGGGGAGCTAGGACATACTGCCGAAGCCTCCCAAGCAAACTCAAACACTAGTTTCAGAAAAAGTTCCCCGCACCCCGTCCCGGTCCTGGGCCTACACGTTTGCGTCCCTCTCCGAACCCCCTAAACTCACGGATGTCCTTGGGGAAGGGCCAAGCAGGGCCTCCCGGCACTGCCCGCCCAGGAGTCCAAGGCCCAGGCAGCGACGGCCAGGCGTGCAGGGTCGTAGCTTCGCCGGAGCCCGAGGTAGTGGTGGCCCGCGGGGTGGCGAAGCCCGCGCAGGCTCCGGCTCACGATCTAAGCCCCGGGTGCGGCTGCCAGGGGAGGGGCGACACAAGAAAAGGGAGGGCCTGCAAGGGGGTGGAGGGGTGGGGGCGGT